TTTGAGATGCATCACATCATTTAGCTCTGGTGGACATCATTCCCAAGATTTGCCCCCAGATATCCATATGGCACCATGGTCTCAAACTGCAGATTAGATTTTTTTGCTATTCTTGGAATAATACATTGGCACAAGTTTCTTTTCCTACTACGTGCCTTTCCCTATCTCTAATCTGTATTATGCATCACTTGGCATTGTGATAACACTTTGGAAGGCCAGTTGGAGCAGGGACCTCATGATAGTAGATGCTGAGAGCATGAAGACACATCCTGCCCCCCCCCCAAACCTCCTCTCTCAGCATTTCCAACCCATTTAGAGCAGAAGATATCCAAAGAAAAGACTTTTCCTCTTTATTTTGTGCTCGCATCAAGCAAGCACAATTTGTGCAGTAAAGTTCTTACCTAATTCAGGTTTATGTGCATAATATAGCAGCAGAAATGCAGAATAAATAATCATCTTCCTAATAAGTGTGCTCTGAGATGCACCTGCAGAACCCCCCCTGCACACCTGCCTTCCTGCACTCCAGATCCCTCAAGACTCCACACCCTCCTCCAGGCCACTCGCTCTTAGACAGGATTGTTTCCAGGAGCAGGGAATAAATTCTTCCTGAGCTTACCTGAGCCGTGCTTGACTCTGGGTGTGCACAGACATCCCCCACTGCTTTTGTAAGCAGCATCACAGCAGGGAAGGGGCTGAGCTCCCTCTGGAAGCATCTTAGAGGTGGGGCCCATTCCCCCAGCCTTCCACAGGTGTTGCCAATTCCCCATCTTTATTAGCACTTGCTTTACTCCCTTCCTGCAATGAAAAGCAAAATAAAGTGCTGTGCAGCATCATTTATTGCAAAGCCACCAAAATCCACTTCCCTAAGAAATCAAAGCAGCAACAAGTTCCTTAAAACAAGGATGTTTTATGTGTCTCCTTGTGAACTGGGAAGCAAAAATACCAGGTAAGGCTGGAGTAAAACTGTTCTGAAGCATTGTAGAGTCTAAGGAATACTCTGCCTTGCTTCAGAGTGACAGGAGCACACTGGGAGCACTGGCGAGGGGCAGAGGTACCCCAGGTGCTGCTATGAAGCACTCAGGAAGCACTTGAAATTCATTCCTTCTCTACACGTTGAAGCAGAGTAGTCCCGGAGCCTACTGAAGCCACTAGAAGACCTCTCTGTGTGTATGGGCTCAGTTTAGACCTTGTTCTCTAATTAATTGCAAGAGAGGCTACATTGGAGCAACCATTGCTCCCTCCTTAATTAAACTTGCCACTTAAACCTAAGTTCAGCACCCACTCTATCAATCTCTTCTGAAATAACCCACCCCTTAGGTCAGTGCTAAACAAAACCAGATCCCTAAATACATTCCAGTATTCAGGTTTTCACAGAGGTAGAAAGGACACAAATAACAATACCTGTGCCCAAAGTAAAATTACGATCCACAGTGTTTCCATCTCTTAAGCAAAATCTTAAGCAGCCTGAAGCGATGAAGCTGTCCCATGGTCCTGCCCTCATCCTCTGCACTGTTTGACTGAGGCTTCAGCAGGAGGCACTGAGACGGTGCTATTGAGATGTCATTTGTGACAAACCTCCCACAGTTAATATTGGTTGATGACTTCAACCTCGCCTTCCTTCAGCCTTCCAGAAGAACATACCCCAGCTGCAGTACTGCACTGGCGGTGTAACATTACTCTGAAGAAGCAATTACAGCGAGCAGAGGAAGAAACTAAAGACAGGTCACCTAAATGAACTGAGGGAAAAGTACATGAGAAAACAAGAAAATGTCTTCATCACTTTTCAGGCTTCAAATTGGAAAAACAGGGATCAATACAGCAGAACTTCATTTAATGGTGTGAAAAACAATCCACCCCAAGACAGGCAGGAATCACTTACTGCAAAACAAACAGGCCAATTAGGCCTGGGCAGGGTGCAGTGGGACACCAGCACTGAAGCCATTCCTCCAGCCTCCAGATGAAGCCCCCAAGGCAGGATGCTCTGAGGCCACACAGCAAAATATCCCCCTAAAAGGGCCACGTGGCTGCAGTTTGCTGCTTTTTCTCCATTTTTTTCATTCCATTGCACTTCCCATTTCATTTGAATGATGGCAGAAGTGGTGTGCAGCACTGGCTGATGGTGACACCAAGAGAGCTGGGCTTGGGAGATGGGGACACAACACGTTCTTATGCGTGCTAAGGTTTGGCCAACACCTCTCAGTCTGGCTCCTAGCACGGTGAGGAGGGGGATGTTCCTGAGCCATGGGTTTGTGTTGTCCATGATGCTGGGGATGTGCAGAACCCCTTTACTGTTGCTGTCACACCAATACCATCCCTCATTGAAAGCAGCAGACCCTGCAGAGCCACACTTGCATCCCTTCTGCATCTTTCCTCAAGGCTTGGTCCAGAGTGGCCTTAAAACTTTCAGTGTTAGAGTCCAGCACCTTCCCCAGGTAACTCATTCTGTTGACCGACTGCTTCTGTGTTAGGAAGTTTTTCTTCCTCTAGAGAGATGCCAGCTCTGCTCTCCAGCGTGCATCCAGGACACAAGCATCTGCCACATGAGGGTTCTGTTGCGTTTGCTGCCATTACCACTGCCAGCTCCTGTAGCATATTAAACAGATTAATTGAAGTGATACAGAGGGAGCATAAAACCCACCAGTCTTCACTGGGGGCAAGTGCCACTGAAATGGAGAAGGACTGAGGCAGGAGCTGACATGTGCAGGAGTAACATCGTGTTATTAAGAGGAGGAAAAGACATTTGACTTGCACTTAATAACAGCTACCAGAGCGTATTCAAACCCAAATAGTTGTAAGGCAGCAAGTTCACATCTTATCCCCACCCTTGTCAGTCAAAACAAGCCCTGGCATTCCAGACTCACAGAGCTGCTGGTTTTAAAGCACCTCACAATGCAGCATGGACACCAGGCCTAAAGCTCAGACCTAACTTTGTATTTATGTTTGCCTGCAGGAAAATAATCAGCCCCAAAACGTGTGGCCACAATCCCTGCTGCACCTCCAGAAAACTGCTGTGCAAGGCCATTTTCCTCTCTCTTTTTCCCTCCCTTCTGCCGAAATATTGGTTGTATTTTCTCCCTTTATTTATTGGAGTGCTAAATGGATTATTTCAGTAATAAATCAGGCCCTTTCATTACAGTTTTAAGGTGTTGTCACTGTTGTGAAGTACAGTGTGCCATCAAAATTAAGCTCAGATTGCATTACCACCTCTTTTACAGAGAGAGAATGACTTGATGGTTTTTTTTTTTCCAGCAGTCTAAGCACTTTGTGTCTTGCCTTCAAAGAACAACTTGCTGTTTAGATTCAGAAACCTTCCTCCCCAAGTTATGCAGTTTCCATTCAGGTTGCCTCACAAGTATCTTTGCATCAGGTTGGAAACCAGAGGGATGATATTTCTTCTAGCTCAAGCTAACTATTCATGTAAATGGGAGGAACTGTTAATGGGAAGAGGTGATGCTAGAGCAGAATTACACAGTATCTGGCTCCTCTCTCACTTCCCAAGGTTTAAATCAGAAGTAATTCCACTGAAGTCAGTACAGCAAAAAACAATTGCCTCAGTGCTTTTGAGGCAGCCTTTTGGTTTTGCTGTGCTCATAACAAAGGTGACTGAAGGAGATGCTGATTGCCAGGGTAATTTCTAGTCGACTTCACCTGAGCAAGACTCCATTCTCCTTGTCTACCCCAGTGAGCAAACAGAGCTCTCATCACCATGCCCCCTGCTCCACGGCTTCAGTGAGGACAAAAAGCATTATTGGGGCGTAATAGCCAAATAGATCTCCATCTGTGTTTAGTATTAACGTCCTCAAACTAGCAATGGAAATGCCTACTTGGGTGTTTGAAACCCATATGAAGTTATGTGAATTTATGGAGCATCGATAACAACCAGAACTGTGCATGGTGCAGGGGTGAGACAGTGCAGGGTGGCTTCCAAAATCCAGAGTTAAAGCTCTGAGCTGCTATACGTGATGGTGGCAAGTGACTTCAGATCTCTCCTTGCAGAAGATGGAGCCATGCTGAATCCCCACCTCCAAGGCCTGCATGGAAGTCCAGACAGGAACACGTGCAGAAAGCTTGTGTGGTGACAGCCTTGCTGTTCCCACCCCAGCACAGGAATCATACACGCACCCTGCTTTGCCTCCTTGCTTGGGCTCCCCATGGAAGCTGGGGTGGGAAAGCCCTATTTAACCCCCCCCCATTCGAAACCCAAAGCATAAACGCTTCAGCTGAAAGGAGCATTAAAACACTGCTCTGTTAAACATATGTTCAAGTTCCAGTGCTTTTAAAGTTAAGTGTGTTATAAAAGGCTTCCTGAATTGCATCTTTACGAGTATTATATTTATCTTAGATGTAAGATGCAGAAAAGGCATCTGTAACAGAACCAGCCTGAGGGCACGGCCACATTGCACTGGGGAATGGGCTGAACTGCACAGGTCAGGTCAGGTAGAGCAGGTGGACAGGGCTCTTTATCACACAGGTTAAACTCAGACCACTGACCTGTGGTCTCCTCACCACCACCACCGTGATGCTGCTGGTTTTAAGCAATAGGTGGCACTTCAGGAAAAGGAGTTTTCCAGCATTCCTGCTCTGTGCGTTCCTTTAAATCGACACTAACATTATTGCCAGGGCTTTTAAAAACCACAATATCCCAGATGAGTCAAGAACGTCTCACCTGCAAATAATAGAGCCTCCTCCAACCTCCGCTGTGCCTGCTCCTTATTCCACCCCCTGACACAACCTGGGAGCAATCCAAAGAAATAAGTGACATTATCCTGCAGTAGCCTGGTGACACTTAGGTTCCAGTCTTTAGAAAAGCTGTGGGCAGGTCTGCCTGGTGCTGCAGAAGTCATTTTAGAACACTAGCTCCTGCACATTATGGGCAATACTTGGAGAGCTGTATGTGAGTGACCTGCTGCTGCTGCATCCTCTGACAGCTGCAGAGGGTTTCATTCATCTTCCCTTTCTGGCCACAGCTCTAGCAAGATGAGCCTGGAATCTTATGTATTATTTAATCCTTCTCTTTATTAACTCCACAGCATCTCTGATTGTCCAGTCGGGATGGCCACAATGGGATGTACCGTGTCTCCGCAGTCCCAGTGCTGCTGCCTCTGCAGATCCTCATCTAGAAGCTGGCTGGTGACCACCCTCTGAGCGAGGTGAGGCTCTGCAGGACTGGAGCAGAATGACATCATAGAATCACAGACTGGTTTAGGCTGGAAGGGACCTTAAAGTTCAATCCATGGGCAGGGACACCTTCCACTAGAGCAGGGTGCTCCAAGCCCCTGTGTCCAACCTGGCCTTGAACACTGCCAGGGATGGGGCAGCCAGAGCTTCTCTGGGCACCCTCACAGGGAAGAACTTCCTAATACTCCATCTCCATCTGCTCTCTGTCAGCTTGCTTCCAGAACTTCGCTGCTGCCAGGAAACAGCAATATTTTCCCTTTAGAGCTCAGGGCTGAGTCTCCTTCAGTGCAGAGGTGCTGCTGCACATGCGCGGTGCTGGCAGGGAAGGACCGGGGCACCCTGCAGTGCTGCCCACCACAAAACAACTATTGACAACTCCGAAGTTTTCCCCTTCATTAAAGACATAGCAGAGGCCCAAGCTGCTCAAGGAGTTAAATGTATTAAGCAATTTACAATTAATATAGAACTCATTCCAGAGATATCTACCAGAGAGTACAACAGGGCAATTAACCCACTAATACACTAGGCTATTACATCGCTATGTCTCTTATTTTAGCCTGAGGTGATTTGAAACGCATTGGATTAAAGGATATTACAGGAGATAGCATGAAAAATAGCTTAATGTAATGAGCCATCCCGTGATGTCTGCTATTAAAGATGATTTGCAGTTGAAAACTACAACATACAGTAGTTCAGCCATTTAGAAACATGAGTAATTTAACCCTTCCCTAGCCTGTGCCCCTTAGATGAATCGGTGCTCCCTCTCCCCCCCCCACTTCAATGTCTTTATCTGAGGATTATCAAATGCACCTTATTAAAGTACAATGGTATCTTTGGGAGATCGGTGCCCGAGGTTGAGAGGAACCAGTAATCTGCTAATAACTTTTAAGAATAGATCCCTGAGCGAGTAAATAGGCTGAGGCAGAGGGAGGCTGTTTGACTGGCACCACGTGTGTGAGATGGGAACTTGTAGCAAATTCCTAGAGTAGCCTTAGGCCTGTCATATCGGTTTCAAATGGTAACTCAGAACTGGGAAACAAAAGCATCTTATCTTAAAATCTATAACCGTACAGCTTAGCATGGAAATGGCAGCACCCAGGGAAAGGAGAGCTCAGTGGCTGGAAAAGTTCCTGCCTGAGGAGTAGACTTGCCATGGAGACCTCTTTGATAGCTCAGGCACGTTCACTGCTGGGGTGGTGCTGCAGCTCATCGGCTTCTTATCTTTAGTTTAGCCTGGCTTTGGTCAAGAAACCAGCACCAACAAGCCTGGGTATTGAATAAAGGCACCTAGAAGCCATCCTGTTCCCAAAGAGGAAAACACACTGGAGCAAACACTCTAAGCACAGAGCTTTGGCCATGGGCTTTTTTCATCCTCGCTGGCAAGGAAAGGACTGTGCTGCTGATGTGTGAACGGGATGATGAACACATGGAGGTGCTGGGTGGCAGATCCTGCGTGCACAAGAGCCCAAAATCTGCACTGCAGCCAAGTGCCTTCCCATGAGTGGCTGTAGCACAGTTATGCATTAGCAGAGCGCTCTGCCAAAGGATGCAGCTGTAAATCACCTTCCAAACCTGGATCTGCACAGGGAGGTGATGGGGGAGCAGATGAGGAAAGCAAGGAGGAGGTTCACTGTGCTCCTGCAGAAAACCACTGCCTTCACGGAGCATCTGCCTGCTCAAGGCCTTCTTCAGATGAATTTTAAACTGTCCAAGGATGGAGATTCCCTCACACCTCAGGTGCTTCTTCCAGTGCTTGGTCACCATCAATTAGAAAGAGGTTTTCTTACATCCAATCTGAACTGGATTTGCTGTTGCTTCTTTCGTTTTACTGAAGACCAGGTAGAAACACCTACAGAAGACACCTCCAGCCGCTACATCTGGTGTAAAGAAAGGGGAGACATCAAGTATTCAGCAGGAGCAAATTAACTCAGAGCAGAACCATCCCATGGCCTCTCCCAGAAGCCAGCAGCCTGAGGCTGAGCCAAGGCAGCAAATCCCAACCCTGTCCAAGCTCAGGTACCCCACTAAGAAGGTCTGAACAACACCACTGGGGAAGGAGAGCCTGTCCCTGGGCTTGATGCTGATTATGCTGAGCTTCTAACCATAACACAGGTTTTAGTGCTTACATCTGTGGGTATTTCAGCCCAGCTTGCCCCCTGCCAGCTGCCATCCTCCCAGCCCAGATGCTGCTGATTTCAGTTCTCAGGAAAAATCACAGCGCTGGGAAACAGTTTCTACCTGGGCAGCGTGTGTTTCTCTTGCTCTTGTTTCTGTGTTTCCTCCTCCTACCCAGAATGCAGTAAAATCACTGAATTCATGCTGTCAGTCATGAGGCTTTTTGTCTATTGAGATGGGGACCCCAGGCACAATCTCTCTTTTTAAGAACCCCATTGACACAGAAATAGAGATGAACAAAACTGGCACTTATTTTTCCCCCAGGAAAAGATAGGATTTCTCTCCCCATGTTTCCTGTCAAAAAGTTTCTTTCTTCAACAAACAGAAAGAGAGTAAAAAATAAATCCCATGCAGCCCATTAAAGATATTGCAGGGGGGACCTGGGGAAGAGTTACAAGTACACGAAGAAGTGGGCAGGATGGTTTGTAGGCAGGAGGACACAAGTGCTGCCTTGACCCATGCCACCCAAGCATCCTCTGCTGTGGGTGCAGCTACCGTTTCCCAGGAGTTTCCATGTGCACCAGCACCCCCCTGGGAGAGGTGGCCCAAAGCAGGGTCAGTGGCTACTCAAGGAAGTGCCACTGGTTGTGTTTGCTTTCAGTCATTACCTGGGATTCAAAAGGGGTGTGCCAGCTTGCACTGAAATCATGAGGAGGATGGACAGCATCATTGTGGTTCCTTTGAGCAAAGTGTGAGGAATGAGGGAAAGAAACCCAAATACCAGCAAAAAAAAGCACTCTCAGGATGAGATTATCCTGATCCTGAGCTGAAACATTTCTGCACCAAAGTGGAAAGAGAAGGCAAGAAAAGAGCCATTTCCCCAAGTGCCCCCCATGCAAAGCATTCAGTGGGGATTTTAGGCAAAGGGTGGTGCTTTCCACAACCCCTTCTGCAGGGCCAGGAGGGAGGAGGTGGTGGGGACCTCCTTCTAATCAAAGAACTCGTCACTGTCACTTTGGCGTTAGCAGATGCCACGAACAATAACCAGGATCCCGTGCCTCTGAAATGCATTATTAACAGGCTACATTCATTGCTACCCACCCCTGCTCCAACCAGCTTTCCTTTTTGTTTCACTCGGGACTGCCTGCATCCCAAGCGGCACGGGAACCTGTCATTTCTCATTTCCATCCGGAGGAACAAGTGATTTGGGAGAAGGGGAGAGGATGACCAGGGCTTTCTGACCTTTTCTCCTTCAATTTCACTCCTCTCCTCTGTGAGGAGAAAATGGCAATCACACTAGGTGGAACCGACAAACTCATCTCTGTGTCACTGCCTTACGTGTACAATAGCTGTGTCACTCGGCGTCAGGAGGAGGAGGCAGTGACGGGATTAGGGGCCCATGATGGCCCTTACCTGCGAGCAGATTTAAGCCTTCCCATTGCACCCCATGCTCGTCGGTGCCACCCAAGGTGGGGTTATTTAATTGTGAGCATGGTGATGTGAAGCTCACCACAAAAATCCCATGTGATTTGTCTGTTCTTCCTTTCCAAATGGGATTGGTGTCTCCATGTGCCTGCAAAACCCCTCCTCAAGGAGTAAGACCTTGTGGCTTCTGAGGTTACTAAGCTTTTCACATCACCTTGTAAATTCAATTGAAGAGCTCTCAGGGATATACTACACTGATGGAGAAACTGAGGCACAGCCAAGGAATGGGGCTATCCCAAAGCCATGCCATACCTCTGTGGGTACTGAGCATCCGGGTCCCTGCTCTATTCCCTCCAAGGCTGTCCTGCAGCCAAGCAGGTGGGAACACACAGTGCAGGAAGGCAGATGGACACCCAGGGATAACCCCTGCTCTGGAGTGCCCACCCTGTGCCACCCCAAATCTGCTCCTCCTGTACCCACAATTATCCCATGGGGCGAAGATGAGAGACATCAAATGTCCCCAACACCTTGTAGCTACTACATGGAGGAGAGGGCAGTCTGGAGCATCACAGCCACAAAGAACCAGCCCAAGGCACTACCAGAGTGCTGATGAGCATAGGAATTAATGAACACGATTGCTTGCACAGGAGCTCAATGGGCTCAGCCCCGGCATGGAGCCACCACCATGATGACAAAGCCACCATCAGCTCTAGTGCTTGGATGGGCACTGACAATTCCCATTTCACCTGGTTTGCAAACACACCTGGATTTGTGAGGGGGATTTTCCTAAACCATTCTCAGCCTCCAAAGACTAGAGCTCAACACAAACCCACCAGAGACAAGAACAAAGAACAACTAGAGCATCATTTTAGTCAACTGTAACCAGTCCTAGATGGGATACGGTGGTGCAGGGTGATGTATTCCTGGTTGGCATGATGCAAACTGGCTGATTCCTCCTAATACTTGAATGGAAAAAGTGCAGGAAGGTGAAGGGGGGAGTGGAGAGAAGCAGGGGAGGTGGTTTCGTACGGAGAGCTCTTCTGCAAGAAAACTCCCTTTTTGGAGGGTAGGAGGGATATTGGTTAGGAACAGCAAGAGCGTGGATTTTTCAGCTCCTATAAATCATTATTACTGGAATGTCCCTGAGGGGATGAGAAGAATGGATCAGTTACAGCCAAAACTTTTAGAGGGAGAAAGAGGAAGGAGGGAAAAAGGGAAATAAGAGGGGGAAAAGGGGGGGGGGGGAGAGGAAAAGGGGGGGGGAAGAGGAAAAGGGGGGGGGAAGAGGAAAAGGGGGGGGGAAGAGGAAAAGGGGGGGGAAGAGGAAAAGGGGGGGGGAAGAGGAAAAGGGGGGGGGAAGAGGAAAAGGGGGGGGAAGAGGAAAAGGGGGGGGGGAAGAGGAAAAGGGGGGGGGGAAGAGGAAAAGGGGGGGGAAGAGGAAAAGGGGGGGGGAAGAGGAAAAGGGGGGGAAGAGGAAAAGGGGGGGGAAGAGGAAAAAGGGGGGGGAAGAGGAAAAAGGGGGGGAAGAGGAAAAAGGGGGGGGAAGAGGAAAAAGGGGGGAAGCAAAGATTAAAAGGAGGGGAAAAAAGAAGGAAAAAAGGAAAGAAGAGTGAAAAATAAAAACGAGAAAAAAAAGCAAATGAGGAGACAAAGGCAGGAGAAAGGGAGGAAGAGAGAGAGGAAGAGAGAACAAAAGCAAACGGAGAAGGAGGAAGAGAAAGGGAAGAAGGAGAAGAAGGGAATGAATGAACTTTGGAAGCAATTTCTAATTCCTTTCACCTACATCATGAATTGAGCATGCAAAAAAAAGGAGGAGAAGGCGGCAGGAGGCAGGGAACTATTGCGCCTGGCATGCAGATTATCATTTGAAAAGCTTCTGTTGCTATGTTTTTGTCCCTGGGTGATGAAAATGAAATTGTCTGATGTGTGCGCCGTGTTAGATTTACCTTTGCAGGGTTCACCCACAATCAGTAGAGAGGGGTCATGCCACAATATGTCATCTCACAGCTCCATCACACCAACTCCAATTTATACGAGGAGGTATTATGCATTTCAAAGGAACCCCCTGCGCGTGGCTCTTGTTACTGATCTATATCGCAGCTCAGCTGAGGGAAGATTAGTTCTGCTGCAAGGGCAACCAGACTTATTTGTTTATGATTATATTCCCCTTAAAGACGCACTATTCCTTTTTTTTCATGTCTAATTTCAAGCATCACGTTAAAGGGGATGGGGGGGGGGGAGGTGTAAAAGGTGAGAGAATTCCACACTCTCTCCCACAAGGAAACCTAATAGTCCAAGTCTCCCATGCATCCTGCTCATTAAAACCAAAAATAAAAGCTCCATTTAAATGCAAATGTGAGTTTTAGCTGGGGACTCCCCAAAAAGCTTCTCTTGGAAGCACCAGGGAAATAGGATTCAGGAAGCTAAAATGGCTGACAGCAGCCGAACGCCTGCGGAAAACACTTCCCATCTAAATGCCCTCGTCCTTCCCCCTCCGATGCCCCCCGGTCCCACATCCTCATCCTCATCCAGCCCGGCTGGCTCAGGCGCAGCATCACTTATCACCGCTCTCCGCTGCAGGATTGTTTTACCTCCGGCAAGCACCACCCCAGCGCGCTAAAACTGATAACATTAGCCTTTTAACTCCTGCTCGCTCTTGCTTTAATCAACGTTTGCCCAGAAAGTCGACGGGTTTGTCCCTGATAAAGGCTCTGAAGGATTTAATGAGGCGACCGAGTGCTGCAGACCCCAGGAAGCCCCTGCTCAGCACAGCTCCTTCCGTGTTACTGAACGTGGATTTAGTTTGGGGGGCTCCAGATGATAGTGGGCACCCAGGATATCATCAAGCAGCTGGCACTGATTCAGTGTGGTCCCTGAGCTTTGGGGGCTGTGTAACCCCCAGCATTAAAAAGCCAATGAGTCCTGGGAAGTTTTTACAGTGGAAAAGCTGATTTGTTTGATGGGCGGGGGGGGGAGGGGGGGGGGGGGAGATGCAGAAGGAAAGGACCTTGATGGGGGAAAGATGCAGAAGGAAAGGACCCTGTGGTCCTGCCCATGGTGGTGGGATGTTCAAAGCTGCCGTGGCTGCTCCGAAACCTGCCCATTGCAGGTACCCAGGGATGCTCCTCCCTGAGAAAGACCCCACACACGGTGGCGCACCCCTCAAAAGCCAAATATAAAAATAGATTTGGGGTTTTCTAATGGAGAATTAGATAATGTGGGATGAGGGAGGTGAGGACACTTGAGCTGTTCCCATGGTGGAAGGGTGTTTGCCTCCACAGTGAGAGCAGGGGAGGATTCATGCCGAGCTCTCACGCAGAGACACTTTTGCTTATCATCACCAGGCCGGTTTCTGACTCCTCTGCCCATGATTAACGTATCACTGCTTATAATAAATAGGCCCATTCCATCTAGGAAATAAATGGGTCCAGCAGGGACCTGCAAGGAGCAGAGACACAGAGCTGCTGCTCTCTGGCCCCATCTCCCGGCTCCTCCAGCCCCTCCACAGAGCAGAGCCAGCAGCACTGATGGGGTTCAGTGGGAGCAGAACAGCAAAGGTCACCCCTGCGCCCCCAGCTTTTCTTACTGTTCTGATGATGCATTCTGCCAAAGTTTGCCAAATCCAAGCAGAATCAGGAGCACCGAAGCTGCTGTTGCCTTGGCTTCGCATCGCTGTCAGCCACGTCAGATGCGCAAGACTGAAAGTGATGCCCGTCTCCCTTCGTGGTGCTCTCTGCCTGCTGGAACAACAGATGAACAGGTGAATGTATATAGAGGACAATGAGCAGATTAATTAAGGGTGGAATTGGCTCACGGTTCACTTGAAGCCTACCCTGTAGTTATGTGGAGCTTCCCCTCATCTGGGGTTTGAGCACTTGGTGGGATGACTGTGGCACCCACCAGAATCCCACTCCAGAGTGCTGCCGGCCCCAAAACAGGTCCCACTCACCCCGGGGGCCTGATCCTGCTCATCCTCATGCTGGGGCACACCCAGGGACCCCCCAGCATTACTAAACCCCTTTGCATTGGCATAAACAGGAGGAAGGCTCCCAGCAGCTCGGACCCAAAGTGTTAAATATTTTCTGCTTAAGTGCAGAATCTTTCCAGCACAGCTCATTGAGCCCCTTCCTGCACTGGACACTGAAAACCTGAGACACCAAAGGCCAGTCGCAGGTCCCCAGAACCCACGTTCATCCAAAGAGCCTCACAGCCATCAGGCTCTAACCGTGTGACACTCAATCTGTGCCAGCCACAGCATCACCCTGGGTGAGGAACCAGGAGCCTGGAGCAGGCTGCAAGACAACCACCCCATCTTCAAGGGCCAGCCTTCCCTTTCCCTGCCATTTCCTCCCTTGTTCTTCATGAAAAACACACTCATTCCACTACTTGGGAAGCTCGTAATATGATGGGTGAAAACAATTAAATGAAATAGACTGGTAATACCCATGGGAAAACATTTTTAGATATGATATTACAATCTTGTTTCAAAATTGGATTTTGCCAAGAGGAAATACAGTTTATTATAAAACACATTTTCTTTTAATTTAATTATATAATCTTTTGGCTTCAGAGAAGGGCTGCTTAAATCAGACCCATTTAATTTTCAAGTGTATTCACCCATCACCCAGGGCAAATTGGTTTAAATTAGTAGGTGACTACACAAGTTCGAGATATGTGTCAGACCAAAATTTATCTGCGAACCCTCTATCAAAGCCCATCTCCATCAGCAGCACAGCAGCAGAAATTACCAGGGATGAAGAGGCAAGTGTCTGAAGAGCAGCATTTGCTCTGATTTCAATGACACCCACTACAAACCCCGACATGGGGTTATTTATTTTTGCTCTTTGGGAATGTTTTGCCACATCAGTTCATCACGCTGCACGTCTGCACCGTGCCAATAAAACCTGATGACCTGCAGTTACTTTCTACCAGGTGCATTAAATTCCCATAACAGGAACAGATCTTGCTAAGTCTACCATAGCCTCTTCTTTTGCAGAGATTACATTTCCAGCCTAATGACAAGAGTGGTTTGTTCAGAAGCTGCAGTCGCCAAACTCTGCCTGCGATCCGTCACGCTGACCCGCTGCACGCCGCGCTCCTGCAACACAGCTCCACATGGACAATACCTTGTGAGTTATATCATGACTCTCTTCCCATCCCACCCTACCCTATTTTTCCCCATTGCTCAGCTCCTAGAAGCCTGCTCCTGGTTCACGTTTAAAAGCGGCCAAAGAAAACGCATCCAAACCCATTCAAGCCTGGTTTTGCGCAAGCATCCCTGCGCTTACGGCTCCCAGAGCTTGAAGTGTGTGGTTTAGTGCTGCTCGCTGTGGTTTGGGATAATCACTTGCAAAGACAAGGGAGGAAATTCCTCAGCAAAGGGAAAATACTGCAGTGCAGTCGAGGCTGACTCGGAGGGAACACCACAGGAAGAATAATCATACATGGGATTTGGAAGGGGGTTTTCATCATAGGTATCAAAATGCGCCCCATGAGTACTGGCTGGGGGAGGATGAGCTGACCCTGAGCAGCCAACCCAGCCTCACCCCCAGCATCCTTCTGTGGGGCTCCTGCACTGGGTCACGTTTGGGAAACATCCTGCTCCAGCAATGGGTCTGCAGACCCAGCCGAGCCCTTGGCTGGGCTCACCCCCATCAGCCCTCCCGTAGCTCTGCTCTCCTCAGCAAACACATCCAGTTTCGTACCCTCGAGAAAACCCATTGATGTGGTGCCACCAGCAGCAGCACAACCACCCTCATGTTAAATAAACCCCGAAAAGCAGAGGTTTCTGCCCTGGCCCAGAAACGCAGCCAGCACCAAAAGGCAGCAAATAAAAGCAATACCAAAACAGGATTTGGTTCTTATTCTTCTTGCAAGGTTGGTTTGGTGTTAACCAAAACAAAACGTCTATCATGATTCTCATGTCAGGCAAAAAGCCTGGGAAGGCTCCCAATGCAGCAGCATCAGCTGTAGATACAGAGAAATATACATATATATATATATATACATATATATATACATATATATACACATATAAAGATAGACATGCATCAGTGTAGGGAAGTTCTGAAAAGGTGGTTTGAATGAACTGAAAGTGTTGTTTAAAGGCAAATACTTTACTGAACTCCATCAAAACATTATCATACAGACAGTTATAGGTAAGGAAGGCTCTGTGGAGACCTTAGAGCAGCGCCAGTGCCTAAAGGGGCTACAAGAAACCTGGAGAGGGGCTTTGGACAAGGGCCTGTAGGGACAGGCCAAGGGGAATGGCTTTAACCTGCCAGAGGGGAGACTGAGATGAGCTCTTAGGCAGAAGCTCTTCCCTGTGAGGGTGCTGAGGCGCTGGCACAGGGTGCCCAGAGAAGCTGTGGCTGCCCCATCCCTGGCAGTGTTCAAGGCCAGGTTGGACACAGGGCCTTGGAGCAAGCTGCTCTAGTGGAAGGGGTCCCTGCCTGTGGCAGGGGTTGGAGCTGGAGGAGCTTTAAGGTCCCTTCAACCCAAATGATTCCATGATTCCATGAGTATTTCAACAGGTGTTGGACACCCACCTCCTTCTTGGTCTTTGCTGCTCTCCCATTCACTGCCCACTTTGGAGATGTACCCAACCCATCCCACAAGCCCAAACCCTGAGCAGCGCATCCCTGCCAGCTGCTGAGCTGCAGCTGGACCCCAAGTGTCACGAAAACATATGATCTCAGCCATGCCTGGCAAATAAACATTACAAGGGGCTGTTTCAAAGCTTTGTAGTAGCAAATCTCAGCACTTAACTAGTAATGCAATAAGTCCTATCAAGAGCATGCTGAAAGGTGGAATAAATTTCCTGGAGAACAATGCGGGTGATGGATGCACATGACCAACACACAATAAAACTGTAGAAGGGGAGGAAAAAAAATGCATCCAGTCAATACAATAAAATCAGCACAAATACAGGCGACGGAAGCAAACAAATCCAACAATCCAAAGATTTTACAACACTCTCACATGCAAAACATTTCTTTTGCCTTCTTTCCTCCCCCCCCCCTCCCCTTAGAAATCTTAGGGTAAAGAAAAAAAAAATGGGCCTGTTTTGCATCTTGGTGCATTGTGAAGGCACCGGCGGCTGTCGGCACAAATTACCATTCATCCAGGCGTTGTTGTGGAAATTTTCAAGGGATTTGCAGTAATTATATGACAAAATGCTTGCAAATCTCACTCATTGCTGAATAGAAACACACGGGTCAAAGATTGAACACTCTCAGCTTGGTAATTTGTAAATGTCAATCAGACGGGGGCCACGGGAGGCACCCAGGCACAAGCAGTGAAAGGCAGAGCGACGCCGTAGCAACCAGAGAAAGCCTTTTCAGTGCGCCGCCGCTCGAGAAGGCACCGGGATAGTTTCGGTTCCCAGTTAAAAAACCCAAACCGATCACCTTGCACCGAGAGGAGGAGGAAAAGGAGGGGGAGAAGGGGAGGAGGGAAGGGAAGAAAGGGAGGAAAAACAGTTTAAATAAAACTGGGGAGATTAAATTAACTGATACATACATTGGCGGAGGGAGATGGTTTGCTCGGTAATAAATACGGGCTCCTATCTCCCCCTGTGTGAGACAGCAAGGAAAGCAAAATAAAATTAAAAGATATAACAATAAAAATTATAAATGCATTGCAGCCCCTCCGAGCAAGAGCTGGTAATGAACCCGCGGCGAGCCAGGCAGAGCCTTATCTCCAGGGATCGTAAAGAGGCAAAGGAAAGCAAGGTGATGGGGACCACTGTCCCCCCTCCCAAACCACCACCCTCCATAGGGACACAGAGCTTCTTGGAGAACTCAACCCCACCTTCTTCCATGTTCCAGGAAGTGGGATTGGGAACTGAATTGTTTTAAACGATACAAAAGGAATAATCCCGGGGGCTCCCACTCCACAGGGAATACATTAAAGCAACCTGATCTGCCTCTAAAGAGGAGCAGCTCTGCTCCATGAGGGCTGTTTCAGAGACAATTACAGCCCAGGCTGGGGCACTGGGAGTTTGTGGCACTTGCCCTTGGGGCCCTGCAGCTTGGTCTCTATTGTACTACTAACAAAAATGACATTTTTGGTTAAAAATGGGGATGTTTGGGGGCTTCCGAGGTTGGTTCCCTTTGTTTTCTTAAAAAGAAAGGGGAAAAAAGCCCATAGAAGACGAGATGCTGCTGGGTCTGTCCTGGAGGCTATGATTTCAGGGCTGAAAAGGCCATTGCAGGAGAGCTGCAACACCCCAAGAAGCCATCAATACGTTACTATGGATTACTGTTGGGTCATGCCCAAGTTTTCTTAAGCTCAGCTTCCTTTTGGGTGAGTTTCAAGCACAGAAATGCCAAAGCTGACAAGCTGCAGGGATGTTTTTTTCCCCACACAAACCATCCCCGTGGTGGTACCGAGATGCCATCACACACTGGGAAGGGCTGGCATCAGCTTAACTGCAGGGTGAGGCTTTAGCACCCTTAAAACACAGAAACGCTGCCTTTGGTACAAGGAATCTACCAAAGCAGAAAGGTTACAGTGAACAGAGCACCGAATTTTGTCAATACCAAAGCCCAAGCTGCCAAAACGCCCCTTGGTTTTAAATGCAAGATTTCCCTCCTGCTGGCTCATGGTTATGGAAGGAAATAACTGGTTTAACTGGTTCAAGAAGAGGAAAATTACCCTAATCTCACCATGGATGGAGGGCACCTTTGAAAGACACTGATGACCCCAAGAAACATTATTCTTCCTCTCCCAGGACTCCTGGGGCCTGCAGGCAATGTCCAGCATCCCTCCTGTGCTTGCCCCGGGGCTGTTTTGGTATGATATAAACCCTAAGCAGATGCTGCTTCTTTCAGCTCCGAGGCCCCCAACACAAGAGGGACGTGGAGCTCTTGGAGCGAGTCCAGAGGAGGCCAAGGAGATGCTGGGGGGTTATGGACTGCTCCATGGCACTGGGAATGCATCACCTGCCATTAGCTCCTCCCTCAATGGGATTTAATGAATCTGAGAGAAATTATGAAGTACCATAAAGCCACAGGTATCATAAAAAGTCTAATAAAATTGAGAAAAGCTATTAAGTTATAAATACAACCAATACATGCAGCATCACTCAGATGGCAGAAACTAGCTATAAAATCAAGTCATTTTAGACCATCACTCTACAAGTTACCAAGTCTTTTAAATCACAAGTCACACGTCCCTTTATGGCATCCAATCCTATTGTCTGTAGGACATCCATCTTCCAGTTAAACATACACGAGCCCTTATACACAATGTAGGACAAAGAACTTCCATCAGAGCTTTGGTAGCCCTTGCAGGAAGTAGCTGGGCAGGTCTCCACTTTGTGCCTGTGTGATGTCTTATTTAACCCACTCCCTAAATATCTGCCATTGAAAACAAATAACCCTAATAAGTTGCTTAGTAAAGGATATATTTATTTCTTTTATATATATATATATATATGTGTGTGTGTGTGCATATATATATATGTATGTATGTAGCAACTGCAAACCTGAGGGTTTACAGTGCAGGTGTATTGCTTCTTGCTCACTCAATTTAAAGACAAACCTTTGCTGATCAACCTCCCAATCACTGTGGAGCAATTTCTTCCCTTTATTTACTCTCAATGTCCTGTACGTGATGAATATTCACTGAAATAATTAAACACCCCATTCACAGCCTGTTGTGTTCACCATTAGCCCAATAAAACCCAAACAGGTTAATGATGAGCTTTAATATGGGGATTTAATATCATTTCCCCTATATATTGGCTAAAAGTTTAGCTCCCCCTTTAAACCTCATCAATTAACTGGAAATAAGTAACCCCCATAAAACCACACTGGCTGTAAGTCACAGGTACATGTGCTACATGGCTGTATGCATTTGTCTTCTGTGCTTTTTTAGCAGAGTTTCTCATTTTGGTTTAGCTACAGCATTAGAGAAAAACTGAGGTGGGATTTCCCCCACTGAGGAATTATTTCCCCATTGAGGAATTATTCCCAGTGCAGATGGTTGGTGGAACGGGAGCACAGGCTGGACCAACAGTGCAAAACCACCTTGTTACTAACCAAAGACTGTGTCCTAGTAAGGAAGCCTCTTAAAGAACATTGGAATTGGTGCCTCTGCTTTGCCATGGGATGAAGAGGCCACAGCAGCATCCTGAGCTCTGTCAGCACCCAAAGCAAGGCTGGTACCTGCTAATTAGCCTGCTCCAGCAAGGCCTAAGAGCTCCCCATTAGCAGTTCAGAGCAGGCTGTCAGAGCCACGCAGGGAGAACAGGAAGGACCAGCACAAATCAGGAGAGTTTATGAGGATAACTTACATTAATTTTATCCTTTATAGGCAATAAACCTTTGCTGGTTCATTACTGGCCACTGTTAAGTTTTAAGGGAGTTTTTTAACATGCAGGGGAGGTGCTGCCTGTCCCTGCAGGCTTCACTGCGTGCTGGCACCTCGGAGGCAGTGAGGTAGGGTTTGGGATGTGGTGGAGTTGGTGATGGAACAGGGGAGGGGACACTTTCAAACCTGGGGAGGCTTGAAAGTACAGAGGAAAAAGCACATTGGAACAGCTGTGGCTGCCTCATCCCTGGCAGTGTTCAAAGCCAGGTTGGACACAGGGCTTGGAGCAAGCTGCTCTAGTGGAAGGGGTCCCTGCCCGTGGCAGGGGTTGGAGCTGGAGGAGCTTTAAGGTCCTTTCCAGCCCAAACCAGGCTGGGATTCTATAAATGCATCCCCAAAGGGCTGGGGCAGTACCTGCTGCTACTGCCCATCTCCTCAGCGCAGGACCCCACCAGCTCCTTGCCATCACACGATGAAGATGAACCTCCCTTTATTTGCTGCTTAACTTCATCAGCTGAAACATAGCAAAAGCAAGTGCCATTAGGTCAGAAATGACAGAGCAAAATACCCATCTGCAAGCAAAGTGATACTAAAGGTACAAAGCTGGAAAATAAAGAGAAAGGAGGAGTAACCTGCACACCCCACCAGTGCCGTATCTATAGCTTCACGCTGATTAAACAGCATCAACTGGGCTGTAGACTTACCCCAGGTCCTGAACATTAGAGAAATATTATTCTCAGAATTACCTGAAGTTTTATTTAATGCAATAAAAGCTCATTTTTGATGGGAATTAGTCCTGAAATAGATGACTATTAAGAAACGCTGGTTGATGCACAGCTCAGCCCTCCAAGCTAATGAACTCCAAATGGTGAAGTGCAGGGGAGGGAGCTGAGGGGTCTTTGGTGCCTTTCTGTGGGAGAGGTGGTGAACAGCAGGAACAATGAAGAAAATGCCTAATTTAGCACTGAAATCAGTGGGAGGCTCAGGATTTCCATCAGCTATTCCTCAACCAGAGCTTTGGGGCTCCACAGACTGAACCCAAGCAAAGCTCCTCCCTTTTCCAAACTACTCAAAGGGGAAGAGAAACTAAAACCAAAGCAACAAACATCTCCCACCCCAGAAGAAAGACAGAGCAGGGGAAAACCAGAGGTTTTATGGCTTTTACAAGGCATTTTCTATGAATAGAATTATTAGCATCATTTAATGAGAGATTATTCCCAGGGTCCCCTCCAGCCTGAACCAAGAAGATGAGAAGAGAAGGAGAAACCAGTAAAACAGAATCAGTAGCAAGGGGATGAGACAACAGCAAACCTCCAATTCCCTTTGGAAGTCCTCAAGCTGAGGGTAGAAAAGGAAATAACTCGAGGAGGTAACTCTGCACTCCAGGTAATCTGCAGCCATCCTTACCTGGCACCTGGATGGAAAAACTGAGGTTCCCAAGGGAAAGCTCCACCAGATGATGCCTGGGAAGCACCTGAGCACTGCCTCCAGAGCTCTCACTGATGAATTAAGGGATAGGTTCATTCAGGAATCATTTGCTTCTCTGCAGTTCTGTTTAACCCTGCAGTGAGTCTCAGCACCCCCCCAGCAGCAGCAGCTCTTTAACAAGTTCCCTTCAACATTCCACTGTATAAGAGGGATAATAAATCCCATTTCCAGAAGAAACCAGGGGAAAGGCAGTTGGGAGAGGGAATCAGCTGCACTTTGGGACAGTTTAGCCCAGAATCGATGTGTTTGGTACCAGGGCTGCAGGGAGCATCTCTTCCACCGGGAAGGCAGGCAGGAATTCCAAGATCCAAAATGGATGGTGTGAAGGAGGAGGAACCCAACCTGGGAAAGCAGCTCCTGTCTGCTGGGTAAATGTCGTCTCTTGTGAGGTTGTCCTTTTTAGCTGTCTGTATAAATAAAGAGGCTCCCCCTCGGCTCCATCGCTCCCTGCCGAGCCGCCTGTGTTCATTGTAGCAGTAAATGGAGTTCTTTAAAGAGGTGCACGGGAGCTCTCGGTGCTGAAGGACAGCATCGATCACACAGTAACACAGAGCAGTGTGGATGCAGGGCCTGATCCTGCTCCCACAGGGATGGGGAAAGCTCTGGGAACCTCTGACCTGAACAGGGCAAGGGTGAAGCCACCCCAGGAGCCGTGGTGCCCAGAGCACAACTCAGCTCCTGTGCTGGCAGCAGCAGGAGAGCAGCACTGGCCTCGTGGAGGCAGCATCCCTTGCAGTATCCTTAACAACATCCTCTGCTGCCTCCCTCACAGCATCCTTCATAGCATCCATGATGGCATCGTTTGCTGCATCCCTTGTGGCATCCCTTGCAGCATCCTTCATAGCATCCTTTGCTGCATCCACGATAGCATCGTTTGCTGCATCCCTTGTGGCATCCCTTGCAGCATCCTTCATAGGATCCTTTGCTGCATCCACGATAGCATCGTTTGCTGCATCCCTTGTGACATCCCTCGCAGCATCCCTCATGGCATCCTTTGCACAGGGAACAGTTTGGCTTAACAGCCCTGGCTCCCCCGTTGCATTCATGTCTGCCAGCATCTCCTGCCACCTTCTCCGTCTTCACCTAGGGCTGCAAAGGGAGAAACCACCGATGTTATCTCCAAACTCTACAACAATGCCAGATGTTGATTTACTTGATCGAGTTCCCATGCTGGGAACCAACACGGATGGATGTCCTGGTTTGCACCCTGAGGCTGTAGGTGCTCTGGGAGGTGCTCCTGGCCGGAGCCATCCTCACATTTCACCCAGTTGTAAGCAAATTATCACACGTGAGATTTGGAAAGAGGAGGTTTTGGCACCTCATAAACCCACACACAGTAAGGTGAAGCAATCTGGAATCTACTACTCCTGTTAATACACTCTCTTATGTGACAAATAACAACATGTATTTATAAACATCTGTTGCTGCACAAATAAAAACTGTTCTAAAAGAGAAACCTGATATAAACCAGAATGACTTTTTAACTTTAGAAATTGAGCTGCAATCACAAGAAACAACCCATTTCAGATGGCAACAGAGACGGCTGCCTTGTCTGAAACACCAGCCAAGCACCAACCACACAATGAGCAGGAGGGAAAATGATCCTTAAAATGCCATGCAGGGCCTCAACATTGCCCTCTTCTCTCACCCTCCCATGGTCCTGCCCAAAGGGTGCCACCGCCTGCAAGTGCCTGGATCCTGCCTCCAAGTATCCAAAGGGAAAGCACTGATGAGTGCCAGTGATGACTTCCTCACCCACCTCCATGCAGATGGAGGGACCACAGCAGCGTCTATCACCCATCCCAAAGACAGACCCTGTTTGGAATGACCAGAAAAGGGTGTCCCCCCCGCCATGTGCTCAGTGCTCTGCTGTGCCCCAGCAGGTTCCTCAGGACAGCCCTGCTCCATCTGCATCTCTCATGGGTGGGATGTGCCATCTCCAGCAGCCACAGAGGACAGAGCTGGACCACGATGGGAGTTTCCACACCCAGCATGGCCACATCCTGCCCTGCAACATCCCATGGCTGCCCTTCACTCAAGACCCTCATCCTTGGGGTTCCCATTTTGCTTCCCATCACTTTGTCCTTCAGGGGGTCCGCAGGACCCCAGGGCTCATCCACGGGTGCAGGTTGGGCACCCATCCCTAACATCGGAGCTCCACCTAGCGCTGTGCAGCCCTTCCCACCACCAGCCTGGGCGAGGGGAGGTGGGAAACGGGGGGAAAGGAAGAAAATTAAAGCATATTAAAGGTGTTAATAAGCGACTTATTTAAACGGAGCATCACACATTGAGCATTAATCACCCCGCAGTAAAAGTGTAATTAAGGAGTCACTCTGCCTTCTGGGGAAGGCTCGTGGAGGCCGAGAGGAAACGGGCTCTTTATTAACACAAATTATTTTATTTGGCTAAAGGTAATAATTCTAAGTGAGGTCAACGGGACTCGTGTGCATGGAGCAGCGCCGGGGCCCGGCCAGCGTTGCCATGGAGACTGAGCCAAGTTCATCCTCGCCGGTAATGGCTTTGCTCTGCCACCACCGCTTGGGATTGTTCCTTGGGAACAAACAGGCTTCGAGCCAGCAGCGGCATCTCCTCGCTGGAGAAATCCCCTGGGGATTTCAAGGGGGAGTTGGCAGGAGTGCCCTGTTGAAAGGGTGGAAGCATCGTCCCCTTCCCAGCTGCTCTGCGCTCATGGGATGGCACCCACCAGATGTTCTCCATGTGGGAATGGTGCTCCACAAGCAGGACCAGCACTTGATGTTCATGTTCTCCAGCACAGCTACAGCCCAGGATGGGTGTGGGACCACATCCATCCCAGCCACGCAGAGCCAAGCTGAGGCAATTTTCCCACATCACCTTCCCAAGGGGAAGCCGGAGCTTTATGGGGCTGCAGCTTCCCTAGGGAACACCCCAAACTCACAAGGAACAGCATGCCAGGGATGCGACCAGAGATGTTCTCCAGGCAGAAACACGTTTTTCTCCCCATTTTAGCCCAGCTCTAGCAAATGCATTTGATGTCTAACGGGACCAAGTCACAGCGAGTCACTTACCTGTGAGCGCATTTCCAGGCTCCTGTAGCGCTGAGTGCAGGGCCCAGCATATTTAAAAGTACATCTAATTCCCTAAAAGCAAACTCTAATAAAGGCACGAGTAAAAGCCAGCCAGGATTTGGGCTGTAAAGCCCTGTTTTCCCAAGCACATTCCTCTGCTCGGAGAACTCATGTGTTATTCTGTCTCAGGCAGATTATTGTCTGAACACAGAGGTGATTTATCTGTCTCCCATGTCATGTCATCCGTTTATGTACAGTATTATATGTAGAGTACAGCATTAACATTTTACTATTATTCTTACCTTTCAATGCAAAAAGATAAGAGTGTAAATCTGGGAGACAAGGGATGTGTCACCAGAGCTGAGGCAGCGCTCCCGGTATCCTCATCCTCCTCCCTCTGTGCTCCAAGGCTCAGTTCACCACGGGACCATGCCTAAGTGATCACAATGGGGATATTTCCAGCACCAACACGTGGCTTCACCCATGATCCCCCCTTAATAAAACCACCCCCTTTAATAGGAATATCCCCCTTCAGCACAAACATAACCCACCTCCCTGCCACACCACAGGAGCAACAAACAGCCTGCTCACAACTTACGGGCCTAGTAACTTATTAGCACCTAGTCAAGATTAATCAAGCAGGGAAGACTAAAGCAGGTCCCTAATTAGTTGCTGATGATAACTATATTTGTCATCCTCTCCCAATTAGTCTACTGTACATTTTGGAGCTTAATTGCACCTTGTTCTTCATTTAAATGTCATCACGTGCATCTATTCTCCCCGTTCCTTAGGAAATTTGAGACAAATTTGACATTAAATATAGATTATCTTTAGATTTTCATAATTAACACAACTGAACCCTCTTTGGCCTAAATACATCTCCTTATGCTATAAATCTGGCTGGGCTCTTGGAAGCGGGTATCTCCAGGGATGCCATGGATGGGGGTTTGCATCTCCGTGGCACTGGGGTCATGCACAGGTGGCAGTGGTGGCTGCGGTCAGGATGCGGCCTTAGGATCCCCCGCAGAAGGAAGGGATGGGGCAGCCTTTGGGGTATTGTTCTTTCAGGGGTTTTTGTCTCCGTTTTCACGGCTGAGAACATCTTCAAGAGCCCGATTGTGAATGGTGGGTCAGGTTATGCCCAGGGAAAAGGGAGGAGACTGATTCACCTCCCTCCATCCCACTGCCACAGCGAGGGCAGCCTCGCTCAGCCCTCCCACCCTGCAGCACCCTTAGGACAAGACACGGCTGCTGCTCCCCATGGATCTCACCCCGTTCCCGCAGATCCAGATTAGAGGATATTCAATATATTGATGTACAACAGAAAGCTCCAGCCACCATTAACCCTTCATTCACTGCCCACAGCTCCCTGGCAGGACTCTGCACCTCCAGCCTCCCCTGCCACCCAGCAAAGGGGTCACCAAGGCTGGGGTTACATCCAGCTGCAACACACGTGGGTGCCCTGCATCTGGTCACACGCCTGTTTGCTAACCTGGTGTCCCTGCATGCCATGGCAGCTTGGAGGAAGCAGCACCTGGGGAATGCTGACCATGGGCCATTCCCCACCATCACCATAGAATTCAAAGCCCCATCTGAGCACAGAGCCTCTCTCCTGCTATATCCAACATACCCCAGCCATGTCCCTACACCGAGCCCCACTGCAAGGGACCAAATCCAAAGTGATGGCCCAATGCACTAGGACTGCAGAAGGAGCTCCAAGGTGAAATGGGATGAGCCAGAATGGGGTCTGCCCTGCAGTGCCAGCATTCCAGCCACTGTGTCCCACAGGGGTCTCACACTCACTGGCTCCCCGGAGCGACGCTGGGTACCAGGACACACCATCCATGTACAGGCAATACAGGAGCTGCTCCACAGCCAAACCTCTGCTCACACTGATCAGTGCCAGAGGCAGGGACCAGCACAAGCCCCACTGCCCACCCCAGCCCACCAGGACTGGACACAACCCATGGGGCAACCTCCTGGACACCCAGCAAGGTGTAGGAGCTGCTGATGCCCAGCAGCAGTGCCCACAGCCCCTGCCACAGCGATGCTCTCACTGAGAACAGCGGCCAGGCTTACAAAGAGGAGGAAGGGAAGGGAAAAAGCAATGTATGTTCCTACCTGTCCCTTAGGAAGATGCTCAGCGCACAGATCATCCCTACTGCCTATTAAGAGCCAAAAAGCCCACGTTGGTCTAGGCATTTCCCAAGTGCTCTGGGGCTCGGCACATCCAGCACAGGGAGTGCTGCCGCTCGCTTCCCCGGAGGAGGCTGCTGCTGCGCGAGTGGATGGGGAAGGAGAGGAGAAAGGAAAACTGAGGGGGGGAAATAAATGAATTAAATCAAGGAGTAGTCAAAAAGTGTATTAGAAGCAAATTTGGAAGGAAATCAATGGGCTGTAATTGGGTTTGATTTTTCTTCACGTTTTGTTTGGCTGGGGGTTAGGTACAGACTCCCCACATGAGCAGAGAGGAGAGATTAAAGCACAGGGAAAGGTGCCGGACCACGAGCCGGTGGCCACCAAAGCATGACAGCTCCATCACCCTGTCAGGAGCATGGCAGGATCAACACAGAAAGGAATAAAGGGGAAACCATGCAGGGAGGAGACGGGCATTTGCTTATTTACTCTTTTAGCTGGTGCTTCCCTATTTGGCACACAAACCCATCCTGGCAGCAGGATAGGGGTTGCGCCCAATGCCTGCCCACTGGTGCTGGGGGTACCCAGAAGAGTCCTGCCCAGTCATACACTATGATAGTGATATCTCTAAAAGCATGCAAAAGGAATTCCATGTCCCTCTGGAAGAGATGCTCTGACACCCTCCATATACTGGTGTAAGCAGTGACACAGGTGCATGGTCACTGGAAAATGAGAAGAGAGATCATTTGTACCAATTCATTCCATGTCTCCAGAGAGCATTGATACATGCCTTTAAAACCACACTTGTTCCTGCTGGAGGTTTTAGTTCTCCTCCTCTAAAGGGGAGTGATCCATACAGTGCTTGGGAAGCAAAGCCAAATCCCTGCCCAGCGTGGTGTGGGCTGCACACAGGGATCTTGGTGTGCATCATTATTCCTTAGGTCAAACAGGCCAACAGGAGGCTGAAGAACACTTCCCACACACCATGGTGTGGTTTGATGAACCTGAACTGATGGTGACCTTCAGCCCAGCACACCCAGAAAAAGCACCCACTGCTTTTCCCTTTGTACCAAACCTTTCCAGAGCTGGAGAGTTCAACTCCATACAGCAGGGGCTTGGAACTGGATGAGCTTTAAGGTCCCTTCCAACCCAACCCATTCTGTGATTATATGACAGTGTTGAGCTCCAACCCTCCCTCCTCATCCTCCCAAGTTATGAGCTGTTTTTCCTTTTACCCTTTAACCTTGAAAATTAACCTAAAACACAGGGCCCTGCGCACATGACTTACTCAAATAAATTGCATCCTTAATTATGAACACCCTCGGCTCCTGTGTGCTCCAGGCCACGCTGCCCCAGCGGACACCCCCCTCCTGATGAGTGGTTATTGAACACACGAACAACAATCAACACTAATTAAATACTCAGCTGTGGAGAGGAGACAATGTTTATCAAAAACTGCAAGAGGAGGGGAGAGCATCTTCTGTTTGCTATAATTAGTTTGCAATATTCCCCAGGCGGTCTTGGAAATCGAACTCGGGTTTGTTCACATCTGTTTGGCACAGGCAGACAAAGGCCACTGCAGCCCTGGTCCCACTCTGTGTGTGTGTCCCCGCATCCCGGACTTACATCCCCAGTGAAGCACAAGGGGTGCAGCACCCACATGGCATCACTGCAGCAGCACTTGGTGGCAGAGGAAGGCTGCCTGCCCTCCTCATCCCCTCTCTGTGGGTGTCACCAACGGGGATGACATTCAAGGGGGAATGGGTCAGTGGAGGTATCCCAGCACATCGGGGTCAGTGGCAAGCAGTGGTCGGACAGGAGGGTGATGGCACAACACCTTCCCTCACCACCCCCCCATTAAAACCAAACCCCTCATCAGGAGGAAAAATCATCTAAATGCAAATTTATACCTTTATAATTCTTTAATTCCGCCGTTTTCAGCCAGGGAAGAGCAGGACGAGGCCGTTAATTTCCCTCTGTCTCACGTTATTACCAGCTTAAAGATCTACTCAGCGGCAGAGGACAGGAGTTAGAATTTCCCTGAAGGAGGGGAAATAAGGCGATTAGTGATCACCAGCCTCTGGATGCTGAAGCCTGGGACAGCTCCAGATAAGAAAACGCTGGTTTCATAGCGTGTACATGAATGAAGAACAACAGGAACAACAAAACCTCTCCGTCATACTCCACACTCCGATATTTATCCAAGGGCTGCTGAACCATCCCCATCCTCTAGACCCACACTAGTATTGCCGGCTTCCTACACACTGTGGTAGTACAAATAGGCCAGTGGTGAAACTGGGTTTGCTAAAACACCAACCTCAGGCAATGCTCTGGAGTTACTACACTGGGAGTAGTGGTGAGCCCTTTGCACACACGCCTATAGAAGCTTCTAGACCTATAACACACACTGCCATATATATAATAGACGCTTATAATAGCAGTATATATATATAATATACTGCTACTACTCATAGGTGCCCCTGCACGCAGACACAAGGCATCCAGATGGACACAAGTGCCCTTCTCAAGTCCATTCCACTACAGTTCATCTTTCCAAGCACTGTACATGATTCCGTATTAAAGAACATTCCCTTTGCAGCATCATCCCCAGCCTGACCCTGGGGCGGCTGCATCCCCTTGTGCTGGGATGATGCTGGGGTGATGCTCAGCACGAGCCCTGGGGACACCCCCACCACGGCACCTCCTGCTCCCGCCAGCAGCCGTTGCTTCCCAGCCTCATCCCTGTTCGATCCATCAATACTGGGCACAGTCACTGGGAAGGGCAGCCCCGGTCCTGATCAATAGCAGCAGCAGCCGCTGGCCCCGTGGGTGCTGCACTTGTTGAGTGAGGCTGCAGTGGAAGAGAAGGAACCACATTGAATACATCCCTCCCCCATACAAATGGGATGGAGCAGAGGGGTAAAAACATCTTTTAGTGCCTTGGAGAGGATGAATAACACAAAAGCAAGTGCTGGGAACTGGGGAAGAGCAGCGTTCAGGATGTGAGCACATCTGTATCCCCGCTCTTGGGCTTCATCTGATGCACCTGACACCACTTATAACAAACAAGATTTGGTAGTAAAATACACTGGAGAGAAGACTGAAGTTCAGCACAGCTCAGTGGTGCTGCTGGACGCCAGCCCTGTGCATGTGTGGGTGACAAGGGCTTCATCTCCTCTTGCTCTAATCAAGAGCAAAAGTTCACTGGGGATCAGGACACAGCAAGTTTGGAGGTTACAATACATAGTAAATCGTGTTTCCATGGTGTTTTTCATGCCAGGGATCTCAAACCAATTCATTCATTATAGAATCCCAGACTGGTTTGTGTTGGAAGGGAACTTAAAGCTCATCCAGCTCCAACCCCTGCCACGGGCAGGGACACCTTCCACTAGAGCAGCTTGTTCCAAGCCCCTGTGTGCAACCTGGCCTTGAACACTGCCAGGGATGGGGCAGCCACAGCTTCTCTGGGCACCCTGTGCCAGCGCCTCAGCACCCTCACAGGGAAGAGCTTCTGCCTAAGAGCTCATCTCAGTCTCCTCTCTGGCAGGTTAAAGCCATTCCCCTTGGCCTGTCCCTACAGGCCCTTGGCCAAAGCCCCTCTCCGGCTTTCTTGCAGAGCAGGAATGAATTCGTGCTCCTCCCTATGAGGCATCAGTGTGGATGGGAAGGGGTTGGCACAACACAGTGAGCCAGGATGAACCAGGATGGTGACAGAGCAGAAGCTGCTGTTGTTGTGGATGCGCTTCCCAACTCAGCTCGTGGCATCAGCACTACAGCTTTATATAACCAGGCTGAGGAATCAGTACATTGCCCTCATGCTCCACTGTGATCTACCCTAAATACCTACAATATTTCTGGTACTAAACAATCTCCAAGACTCATTTCTTCAAGCAGCAGCAGATGGTCAAGAGCATTTCCTGAAATTGAACTTTATAATGAATTTAGGATCGAAAAGAATTTACATAATAATCTGGTTTAGATTCTGATAGGGAAGAAACCTACATAGAAACTGCTTCTTTTCAGCTCTTTGAACTAAAGTATAAATCTCCAAGTACTTTAATTATAAACAAACTTCACTAGCCCAGATCCACGAAAGAAATTGAAAAATTAACTACCCAGAGAGGCTCAAGGCCACATGTCAGGCTTAATTCATCAGCGGGTTTACCTCTCGTGACCCAATGGCAGGAGCAGGATGCTCAGGGGCCGTGCCTGTTGCAGATGAGTTGAGATGTGGCTGATGCTGTCAAGTCCCCATCAAACTGTATGATCCACACCGGCTCAGCTCAGACTGGAAACGTGTGGAGCTGGCCAAAGGCAAAAGCTCTTGGAACAGGGTGGAATTATGGCCCTTTAATGTATTGCTATAGGGTGTCCACATGCCAGGAATGGATGGGGTGAAATGAGAGGGGAGGGATGGGAACAGGGGAGATTCAGGTTGGATATAAGGCAGAAGCTCTTCCCTATGGGAGTGCTGAGGCGCTGGCACAGGGTGCCCAGAGAAGCTGTGGCTGCCCCATCCCTGGCAGTGTTCAAGGCCAGGTTGGACACAGGGGCTTGGAGCAAGCTGCTCTAATGGAAGGTGTCCCTGCCCATGGCAGGGGGTTGGAACTGGATGAGCTTTAAGGTCCCTTCCAACCCAAGACCACCCTGGGGATCAGCTGTGCCTGGATCCTACTGGAGGAAGCATCTCCAGAACAGGCACAGACACTGGGAACCAGGTCCCACTGTGCCTTCCTCTTGCTCCCCCCACAGACACAAGGCTGTGAAGCCCCTCAGGGATCATCACCCCATCGTGGCACCCAGCACAACCCCGGCAGAAACAGCCCCATGCAATGGGATGAACCCACCACGGGGGCAGCCAGTGACGTCTCCATCCTCTCAGAGGTGCTGGACCACAGGCAGATGCTGCTTCCTCTCCTCACTCCAGGCGATGCAGAGGGCCTTCCCTGTTAGAAAAGCAAATATTTAGTGTAGATAAGCAACGCCGGGAGCGTTTTCCCCAGGTAATACTAGTAACTAAAATAATCCCATCCACTTTGCTGGTTTAATTTTATATTTCCATTTCTACCTTATCTTTTTTCTGCAAGCATCATTAAACCCCACCATAACAAAAATACATGAACTGTTATTCTTTCAAGAGAAGCCATAAACCACCTCAAAGCTTTTCAAGCTTATTCTTATCTCGTACATCTTCCCCTGGTTCTTCCTTTTTTTCTCCCCTCCCCTTCATGCATTTCAGAAAGGTAGTTTTCCCTAATGTTAAGAATAGTTGCATTGAAAATGAGATGCTGCCTCTGAAAAGCCCCTCTGGAGGATTAAGTAAGTAAAATATAGCCAGAAAATAAACTGGAACCTCATTAAAATAATTTTGCAAGGAGAAATCCTACTTTACAATAGGTTTTCAATATCACTTAGAAAATTCTTAGAGTCATATATGTTCTTAATTCAGGACCTTCCATTAAAAAAGACATTACAGAGGGAACTGAAAGGCCATTTAGTACCCTTGTTTATATAAAAACGCATATTAGGCACAGATGCAATCTCCAGCAAAAGCCCTGTGATACAGAGTTTGAATAAGCTCTGCTCTGCTGAGAGGTGCTAATGAGGGTTGGCAAAGCTGAGAAGGCACCGCCAGACACCCCCCCTCAGCTATTCTGCTGGGTGACACAAGCCCTCAGCATCACTCCTGCATCCCCCTTGCTCTTAACTGCTCCCTACTTGTGAATACCCTGTGCCCAAGGTGGATTTATGGCACCAACTTGCTCCAGACTCAGTGGGGAGGGATGGGGTTCACCCTATCTCATAGGAAGGAGCTCATGTGCCAGGAATTATCCCAAATGCAAAAGGGAAACTCTCCTTGCTGTAATTCCATGGCATATATATATTTCATGTATGATGCTATCCCCACACATTGATTGAAGCATGCTGGTGGGACAACCCCATCCTGCACCACCTGCAGCATCACTTCACATCCCCTACTTGTTCTCGTGCCAGGACCAGCTCACTCCTGTTCCCACTCCCAATCCCAAGCCAGCACCAAAAGACCCAGCCCCAAAGTACAGAGGAAAAGGCATACTGGAACAGGTAGCCCAGAGAAGCTGTGCCTGCCCCATCCCTGGCAGTGTTCAAGGCCAGGTTGGACACAGGGGCTTGGAGCAAGCTGCTCTAGTGGAAGGTGTCCCTGCCCGTGGCAGGGGGTTGGAACTGGATGAGCTTTAGGGTAGGTGCTGGCACACCTGGGCAACACCTCTCCAGGAGCCTGAACCCAACTGATCAGGCAGATGTTTTATCTTCTGCACAAACCCCTCAAAGGCAGCTTTAAAATATACAAAAGAAAGGACATTTATACCCAACTGCAGCTCTGCAGCTTCCGTGGTCATGAAAAGGGAGCCACTAGAGTCAGGGCTGAATCCATGGGATGTAGATGTTCAGCTTTCCAGAGAAAACAGCTGAGCTCTGGCCTGCCAAGCATAGGAAGCACTGCTGAGTTTGCAGCTTCTAAAACAGGCCAGTGAGAAACAAAATTGGCAGGTTTAACTCTGCATCAATTCAAAGCGTGTTGTTACATTTTAAAGTATATAAAACTATTGATCATAAGCAAGGCAGTTACTTCTGCCTGTATTTAAAGCCACATGGAGGGTGATAAGGAGTCGCCACTGAACACACCCAGCCCTGGTGCAGGAGGGGGCAAAAACCTCCATCAGAGGTAAAAGCTCATGAGCGTGGGGTCCTCACACATGAGCAAAACACAGCAAAATAGAAAATAACAAAGAAAATAATGGAAATTGCCAAGCTGGGGACAGTTCTGAACATCCTAAATTACAAGAATCATGGAATCGTTTGGGTTGAAGGGACCTTAAAGCTCCTCCAGCTCCAACCCCTGCCACGGGCAGGGACCCCTTCCACTAGAGCAGCTTGCTCCAAGCCCCTGTGTCCAACCTGGCCTTGAACACTGCCAGGGATGGGGCAGCCACAGCTTCTCTGGGCACCCTGTGCCAGCGCCTCAGCACCCTCACAGGGAAGAGCTTCTGCCTAAGAGCTCATCTCAGTCTCCCCTCTGGCAAGTTAAAGCCATTCCCCTTGGCCTGTCCCTCCATCCCTTGTCCAAAGCCCTCTCCAGGTTTCTTGTAGCCCCTTTAGGCACTGGAGCTGCTCTAAGGTCTATTCTCCAGGCTGAAGCTAAGATACAGGTGATCTGCAGATGCACCCCCAGAGAACTGACAATTCCTTAATCTCCAAAGGTTTCAGAAACCATCATACATGTAATTACTATTCCATTGAAAACACACGAACTCCTTCATCAACCTCCAAACCTCCATCATTTTAAGTTGAGCCTTGAAATAAGTGCAATAATCCTGAGCCTGAAGCCTAAGGGAGGTTAAAGCACCTTCCCTTGA